GGAGAAGGGGACAGTTAAAATATTTCAACCTTTAAAAAAAAAAAAAAAAATTAAAGGGGAAAAAAGCATTTCAGGTAAAGTTAATCAACTGAAACAGAAATTAAAAGTTACAAACATCCCAAGCCCACTATCACCATGCACAGCAAAAGCTGGATTTTTTTTATTATTATTTTTAAGTGCAGCTCATGTTTTAAGAAGCTGCTTAGAAACCTCATTTGAACAATTCAGCAGCGAATGCTTCAGATAGCTTTTGAGAACCATAAAAAAGAAATGCAAAAGCTCGGGTTAATATCATACAATTAAAAATTAAGCACACAGACACGGAAATGCAAGTCATTTCCCACAAAAAGTACTGCTCACATTGCATGCACTTTTGCATCCATTATTCTGCTTTTCCCATTAAGTGCAAGTCTCATGACTGTTCTGCTACGCATAGATCGATAAACACGAGCAGTGTGGAGCTGCCCGGGCGACCACCGCTGCAGAGCCCTCACACATTTTGCTTCTACAACTTCAGCAAAGCCTTGCAGAAATTTCCAAGACCTTCACAGCTTGCGCTTGCTCTGAACAGCTTCGAGAATGCTCATCCAGTCAAATACTGGCATGGACTACACCTCTCGGATCACTCATTAACAGCTTGAATATTACTACATTTTTCTGGCAAAAAGTACAGCCTGATAGCACGTACTGTGAGGTAAATGCAATACGTACTCGCCTACTTATGAAAGAGGCAGAAAACTTTCAAAAGTTTGTTAAAATGGTGCTGTTAATTATTAAAATAGTAAGTTAAATAAGTACATGTTGTAATTACCACTATTTTAAAATACCACACAGCTTACGATTCTGAAGGCCTTTCGTCTCTGGAGACTGCAGGCACATGCTGAGCTACATTTCCTGAACCTCCTGCTCAGATAAGTCAGGACATATTTCTGTTCATCGGGTAACTGTCCCTTCTGGATATGAAAGTTTACATGTTTGCTGTAACATACTCTTTGTCAAATGAAACAGTAATGAGACATGCTTATTACAGTGAATTTCTCTTTTTGTCTCTGATCTCACCCAGAAATTACAGCAAAGTCTTGCTAGCTTGCACAGTGTCTGGGAAAATTCATTTAAATGGATAAATTCTAGAAAATAATTAGTAAAAACTCACAATTTAAAACAGAAAGAAAACTTGGGGGGTGGAGGGGAGTATTTTGTAAAAAAACCCCAGCCTTTGGAAAACACAGCAACCATTATTTTATGGCGTATTACAGCATACAAAATATTTGTTAGTGCTGTTGTGAGAAAGTCTCAAGAGGCTTGACCACCACCCCATCTAACACAGGCAGCAATTCCAGGAGCGTGTGCGTTAGCAAACTGCAGTCAGCAAGGCTTTCCTATAGTCATCTTGACCAGAGCATGAAATTTCCTTTTAAAATAATAAAAAAAATCCTATTTGCAGAAAGAGCTCACAAACAGGTGGAATGGCAGAAGCTCAAGGACATGATGCATGAAACTACTAAACACCATATTTGCTTTTTAATGGTTCATCAATGGCTATGTTGACTGTGCGCATACTTTTACAAAGGACTATACACAACCTCAAATTCAGGTTTTCGAAATGTAATTTCTAGGATCTGTTTTAACTGATTGTGAAAAGATGAGCTTTCCCAGTCCAATGGTCCAACAGCTCTTTTTCCAGCCCAGTATGAAGTAACTAATGGGAGAAACTACTTGTCAGGTGGATGTTTGGAACCCTGAGAAGGTCACCATCATACATACCCTCTGACTGCAGGTCTAAATACTCTGAGCAATACCCACAGCAAGAGAGAAAGGCAGCAAGAGAGGCAGAAACAGAAAGAAAGCAAAGAGAGGAAGAAAAAGAAAACAGTAAAGATTGCTGAAAAAACAGAAGAGTTAACTTTGCAACCATATCCTCAAGCGGTGCTCCTGCCAGGAGAACACGCAGGAACATTTCAAAAGCTATCTCAAAGAGTACAATCACTGAACATGGCATTTTCCACATAAAATTCAGATCAATATACAGAAAAGCAGAAGATTCAATACACCGTAAAAAGCATCTTTCTCAAGCCTAACACACATATTCTGAAGTTATCAAAGAGCGAGATTTGGCAATACTGGAAGCTCTTTAGTCAGAGAACTTCTGCAAAACTACTTATTTTTTTCACAAGAAACTACCATATAGAATTAGATATGGGAAAGGAAGTTAGATAAATACATTTAAAGTAGAGAAGTTACCTAAATACATCTGAAACACCTTCTTCGTGTATGATTTTTTAAACTACTAATATGGCTACTTTAAGCAGAACTGCCATGAAGGACATTCTACTAAGCCACACAAGGACAAATAATTAACTTTCCAGAGTTTAAATTTTGGGGCAGTACGGGCAGGCAGAGAAGCATCAGCAGCTGAGATGATGATCACGGAGGGTATCAGAGGCATGTACTGCAACATCTGGATCTTTCATGACCCTAGTGATGGTAGAATCTACAGAGTCCTTGTGTAGCTCCAAGGAGTATTAAAGATCTCCACTGTAGATTTCAGTATTGCAGGGAGGGAAGAAAGGAGAGGGAAGACCCATTTCTACAGAAACAGGAATGTGGTGTGGTAAGAGTTTAGCACTTCTGGGGAAGTGCTTGTAGAAAGTCATCAAGAACCACATATTCCATCTGAAAAATTCTTAAACTCTTAGTATAGTTTATTTCCTTGGAATCATTAAGGAACATGGTAAGAAATGAGTATCCTCACTGTTGGCCATTTGAGTTTAACTGCATCTGTTCCAACAGAAGGCAGATCGGTTTGGGAGAGCTGAGGGTACCAGGAAGTTTCCATTATCATCACTGGTCAATACGGCAATTCATACACTGGGAGAAACCTGGCTACTAAACAGATCTGGAGCAGCTGGAACCATCATCTGTGTAACAGGTTTCTGTCTTCTCACAGCTTCTATTTTGGCTTTTGGCTACAGTTATAGTTGTGGAAAGCTACAGACACCTTTAAAGTGGAGACTGTGGTTATTCGAGTATTTACTTTCTTTGCCAAAATGGAATTAGTTTTGTAGAATTGCAGTCATGCAAAACCAAGCAGGTTCTGGAAGCCTTGTCCGCATTGAAAGTGCTCGAGATATATACACTTATTTAGAGAGAAAAACACATTCAAAATTACATCGCCTGAAACAGCAGCATAGCCCACAACATCTCACCAGCCAAATCAGAAAAAAAAAAAAATTCCCTACCTGCTAGGAAATAAATGGAAGACATAAGAACGTGCCAAATAAGATTTACACTGCTACTGTGAATCAAGACAGTCACATGTGTAGTACTACTCTACTCACAAACACCATGCATTCAGAGGGGAAAAACATCTGGAGCACAGAGTTTGTTTAGATACACATGCCAATGGATTTAATTAGAAATAATTCAAGTGCAATGAAAACTGGAAAAGGAGATGCTGCTTTTAGCACAGCAGGCAGTATTCTTATTTTCCTCATCTTCCATTTTTCGTGAAGCCAGTCTGCTTGGCCATGCCATCCCTATGCATACAAACTAACTCAATTTATCAAAACAGCTCTTCAGATGCAATCACTGCAAGCAAAGAAATCTCAGGCATCTCACTCATTTCAAGTATGAAGAGTAAAAGCCATCTGAGGTGGACATCAAAAATAAAAAACAGTCACGTTATTAAAAACTCAATTCAGAGTTGCCTAACCAAACGTACCTTTGGTTAGCTTCCTCCCATAATTTTACCTAGTTCTGTAACCCCACTTGTTTTCTGAGGCACTGCTTTTTAACTCCTAGTAGCTATTTGCTGGAGTGTGTACACACGCCGAGCAGCTCACGTTGACTATCCAAAAAAGTCACATAACCACAACGTTATAAAAAGCAAATGCCTGTTCCTGAGTCAGATGCATAAAATACAGGGACTCCAACTAGTCAAATCATACCCTACATACTTGTAAGGAATATGAGGAAAAAACCCAAATAATACAGGGACTCCAACTAGTCAAATCATACCTACATACTTGTAAGAAATATGAGGAAAAAACCCAAATATCGTAAAACTGGGTAATACTTCTGGATGCACCAAAGTGAACTAGATGCTTACTGATTTGAAAAGCAACTTCCCCTCTCTTAGAGCAGGCTAGATTGGAGCACATGCAATTCCAACAAAATTCCTGCCCAAAAGCTAACAAATCTCAGGATCTGCTATATCTTTTTCTGGGATTTTTCATTTTTTATCATTTATTGTCTATAATGTACTACTTTGACAATGAGGGGAAAATGATAGCTTGAGACATTGAAATCTTCCCCTTGCAAGACCGTGCACTGATTCCATCTCAGACCTTGCACTCGCCATCATGTGAGGCTTTGCTCGACTCTTCTGTGCGATCTGACCTGGCATCCCTGCCATGAGCCCAGGCCCGGATCTCTTGTGCTGCCAGACAGACAGACGGGCTTCTGTGACGTGGCTCAGTGGCTAAAATGAGCCACACACGTTTCTTAAACACGTTATAAATATTTTCTTAAAACAAAACCCCTGTGACAAGAAAGCTGTAAGACATCCTGACACAGGACATTTGGAACCATGGTGTCTAAAAGGGAAAAGTAATACATTAACTCCTAGCCACACAAGGGGCTAAAACCAGGGCAGAGCAGGACCCCAGCCCAAGGAAATTCCTTTCGCACCTGGTGAAAACAGCCTTCTCGTTTTTAGCATCCATAGTCAGCTTGATGGTTTCCTGGCCCGAGCCTGTGCTGATGGTTTCTGTGACGATATCAGCTTTATCCTCCTCCTCGTCGCTGTCGGAGCCTCCAGAAGAGCTGCTGTCTGAGGCCACCAGCGGCGCTTTCCTCGTGACACAGACGTTCCAAACACAGGGAGAGGCAGTGCTGACTGAGAGAAGTAAATAATTCACATTGCAAAATGAACGCCACCACAGGAACAACTCCCCAGATACGACCCCGAGTAAGTAGGGTGGTATGAAATGGAGTGTTTAGAACTATTGCAAATTTTGAGATGATAGTTTCTGTGCAGATCCCACAGCATGCAATATTATTTTTGCAAGTAAGAGAAAAAAACCCAACCCCATAAATCAGTGTTCTCCACCTGCCACCTCAGGTCTGTATTTAACACAAACAGCAGAGGAGACTATTTTCTTCACTTGTTGAACGGTGGTAACTCTGAACGGAGGATTAAGGCAGTCCCGTGGGTCCCTGCTGACTGTGACCTAGCTCTGAGAACTTGTTGTGGTATAATTTCAGCAGCTATACTTTTTGAAGTGTTCATTGGTTTCGATTCCACATGCAAGGAAAGCCTCTGACAAAAGTGGCAAAGTGTTGCAGTCTCAGAAAGTGTTTTTCTTCCCAAAGTTGGTACCTGCTCACGCAACTTGATGTAACGCACAGTGCCTGACTGAAGATCACTACCTGGGTAGACTTAAACAACATGCATACATAAAGCAGTCATCACACGCGGTCTGAGCTCTACTGAACTGAATCTCCAACTCCGCTGGGAGAGTATACCAGAAAATGCATGTGGCAGAAAAAGGTACTGTGCTATCCCTTCCAGAATTATCCACCTTTCAGTGGTTACTACAGACAAAAGTTTAATTTAGTTCCATCAAAGTCCTTTGTTAAATTTTATTTTTCCTTGCTTAGAAAGGAGGAGGGGAGGAAATCAGACTGAAGCTAACCAACTGGCTCAGCACAATTACCAATAGTATAACTGACCCTATCCTTTTAATTTTTGGCAAGTAATTTTATAATCAAGCATACAGTTAAAATAGGACTTTTGAACAGTTTCTAGATGAATCACCTCTTTGACATCAACTCTTATTAACTTAAATTTCATCCTCTTCTTGCTGAGTAATATTATCCCAACAAAGATTCAGGATTTCTGAATTACTATTTTAATAGATTGATCTCTGTACAAAAGAGAGCCTTCAAGTAAGATAAGGCAGACGGCACTGGAGGGAAGTTCTCCCTAGTAGACTTGGTACGCTATGCAGAATTTCAAACAGCTTAAATAATACATCTGTTTTGTCTTGTAACATTCTCACTTACAGTTCTTGTCCTGACTCTGCTTCGGGTTTCCATCTGAATCATTGCTTTCTGTGTCGACAGGAGAACTGCATCGTGGACCTGATTCTGAGCTAAAGTAGGGGGGGGAAAAGCCTTGAGAATGAAGTATAGATATCTTGGTTGTGCTTCTAAATATCCCCAACAGAAGAAATCATTAGGGCTTACTCTTTCTTTACATAAATATTTTTAACTTCTAAAAAACTTACTCATTTACTTATTTTATACTCTTAGTGTAGCAGCAGTGATGATACATAAAGTATTCCTGTATCATAAGACATGAATGCTAACACCAGTTAGAAGCACTGGAAGGCAAAGGGAAGTATGAAGCCCTGATCCAGAATACTCAGACAATATTAAAAAAATAAAAGGGGTAGCAAGGGGAAGGGAGAAGGAAGAAGAAAAGACTACAGTCAATGTACTCCATCAAACCATATTTCAAATATTCTTTCACTCAAAAGTTATAAAGCAATCGAAAGAACGTGTGCGCCTCTTACCAACAGAAAGGCTGGAAGTCTGTGAACTTTGCCCATCCTTTCTCCTCTGGCGTGGTGTTCTCTGGGGCTGCTGAATCCCATACACTCGATCCAACATCCATGGCAACACAGGGTGCGGGGGGCTTCGAGTTCACGGGCTCGAACACAGCTGTCCATCCAGACCCTGGAGACACGGAACAATGGACTGGAATTCCTATGAGTTTTCAGAATCTGTGGCCATCCCAAAAAATATTCCAAAGTGATGCCAGAGACAAAAAAAGAAAGACCATCCAGTGGCACTCCTTTGAAATCTACAGGAAGCTGCCTGTCTCACATTACAGACAATCAGCTTGAAAATCCCTCTTCTGATAAATATTAATGTCATCCACAAGAGAGAAGCATCAGTTAAGAAAAATGGCATTATGAATGTCTTCATTATTTGAGCCAGTGATTTTCAGCTGAACTCGAAGTACCTTAGTTTCCTGTCAAAAGCTAAGTGGCATGGCTTTCAACCCTTCCAATCACTAACTGTTTAATTTTGGCAATTACAGGTAAGGAATGATATACGGATCAAAATGTTTAAGATCACAGAAGTGATCTTGAGCAAAACTAAGAACATAATTTGTTTTTTACAGTCCCAGCCTACTCCTTATTCGTTAGAACATACTTCTATTCCTACAAATCACAAATCTCAAGAAAGAGAAAGGATTGCAGAGGTCTGTTGTGCAAACTGATTTGCATGCAGCAAAACTGAGAGTACGAGAGATCCACCAAGTCTACACTCACTCAAAAAGGGAACCAAAATTTGAACCAAAGTCTCTAGAAGGGAAACTAAACTGACGTACACCATCCACAGGTTGCCGTTTGTGTTGTTTATACTGGTTCTTCCTAATAAGAATTGAAAATACCTGACACTACCAAATGGGTGTAGGGAGCTGATTACTGGAATAAATATGCATTATGCTCACAGCTACAGTACAAAGACATCACCTAGAAAAAGAAACCTTTTAAAACTGAAAATGCTTGCACCAAACAAGGAACAAACGTTAACTTTTTTGTCCCTTTATTTCAGTTGACTGAATTTGTTCTGCTGACAACACTGTGTGTCTCATGAACTTACATAGCATTATCTGCATTGCAATCTGTGAAAACCTCATCCCTCTACAGTCTTCCTCCAGGCATTGTAAGAATGGGTTTGCAACAAGCAAACTAAAACTAGAAAGGCAATTAGGCAGAGAAGACAGGTACACGGAGTGTGGAGATACTTGGCAAGGGTCTGCATAAAACTCTTATAATATAATGTAAGGAGTTAATGTCATAATCCTCCACTAATATTTTGTTCATTAGTAATTGTACTAAAAGAGCTAGTAGTATTACTGTACTTGTACCTGTGTGGTTGTCTTAGCATAACTGAAGCATCACACTGCTATTCTGAAGAAGCTGGGCAGGGCTCAATCTCACTAATATTTCAGAGGCAAAAAATGAAGACTGAAATTCACACTTCTCATCTGCACAGGTGGAATTACAGAATAGCCATAGAAACCTGGCAATTTGCAAAGTGCTGTTCTGCAGAGATGATTACAGATCTCATTTCAATGGGATGATGCTGTTTTAAACTCTTTACCTTCAGAGGAGTCAGAGTCTTTCTGCTCAGAAATATTATTCTTGTTGTTGTTTGCTGAGGAAGGACGTGGTTGCTGTTCTATTTCCTCCTCTTCTTCGGAGTCCACACTACCATCATGATCTCCATTCTCAAGATCACTTTTTGATGAACTCTCTGAGGTCTGAGACGCTCCAAATCTAAATCGCAGAACTCAGAATTAGAAAAACCCTTACAGCAGCCAGTTCATCCCTCACCTGCTTCCTCCCTGCCCCGGGGAGGAAGCACAAATTGTGAATTGACCAAGTGATGCTGAATGCCTTTTACAGGGCTTATTTCCCAAGAAGATACACGGCAGGCACTCCTCTAGATATTTCCAGCTGAAGTCCCTAAGTGCTTTACTTGTCAAAATGCACGTGCAGAGTTGTAAAGGGAAATATGTTGCAGTGACATATTCAGGGCTGGAGATTGATATGAGCAGACAAAACAGCAGCAAACAAGGGGAACAGTAGTGTGGTATCAACTCTGTGTATGAACAAGACAATCAGTTTATTGACGCTAGGCAAATAAACACTAAGGTCTTGGCCATTTTTCCTGTCTCATTTGATTATATTTTCAGACTTAGAATTATAGAAGTAACTTTATTTAATAACTGACTATATCAAAGGGATGAAAAATTGTAGATGACTTGCAATGCCAGAGATGCACCATGGGAGGTCACTCATTCTCATGCAAAACATTACTTTGCTTCTTTTAACATTTTGAAAAAGAATATTCTGTCTACTACCCTCAGTCTTACAATTCTTTCAACCTCCTCCTCTCCAAATATGAGGAAAGGAGTAAGTTCTAAGTATTTCAAACTAAGGGTGGGGTTTTTTAATATCTTTGATAACAGACTCAGGAATTAGGTGTTTCCATCATTATCGTATTCCCTCAAATTGGGTCTTTGTTTCACATTCAAGACAAACCACCACCTCTTTTTGCAGAAGTGTGACATGTAAAGCACTCTGTTTTATGCCAGAAAAAGGCCTCACAGCACATAAATAACAAACCATTAAGCATGCACTTAACTAAAATGTACAGTTCCATAGCATTTGGGGGGGAGGCGGGAATTGATCTTTTGTTTTCACCTTACCGTGTTCTTGATTTAACTTGGGTTGCATAGGTTATCTCCTTCTCTTCCCAGATATCTTCTTCCTCCTCGTTATCATCAAATTGTTGGATCCGTTCATTGCAGCAGGCTTCAAAGAGGGAAGCATTGGGCTAAAATAATATTAAAAAGAAATCAAATTCCATTCATTCTTTGGAGACAGAAACAAGAACTTCAATGATGAGGAAGTTCATAGAACATTTGGACACAACTAATACCATGAAGGTGTTTCCATGTATTTCATTTTACATCCCAAGTTGTGCAACAAGCAATGTTCAGCTGGGGAAGAGTAATAATAGCACAGTATGCTCAGAAGCAGCAAGCCCGTGACAGATCAAGAAAGAAACACAACAGTATCTCAGCCTACACTGCTTCCAAAATAGCAGGAATTCCTGCACGCTGCTTCATAGCTGTTCTGTTACACGACTCTCTCTGTATCCCTCATAAGTGGCAGGGATATAAAGTCACTGTAGAAGAGGGCTGGAAACAATTCCCTTAAGAATACATTTGCAAACTGACCAGCTTGGACTAACAAACCACAGTGCAATTTCTTTCAATGACTGTATCCTTCCTGACAGAACTGCAGGGAGCTTCTAAGCAAACATGATAATACTTAACTCATGTGCACACACACCCCCTTCAAAACATACAACCTTCCATCTGGAAATGAGTTTTCAGACATCGGTAAAGTGACGTATCCCTGTGAATACACAAGTGATCTGCCTATGTGACTGTTCTGGGATCTCTCAATTAAAAGACTGACTAAGTGCTGTCTTCCAGGTGGTGCACAGTCCAAACCAACAGCTGCATTAGAATTCCATCACACACAAAAACTGCCTACTCAGGAAAAAGAACAAGTTAAGATAAGCATATAAACAGCTCTTGGTGGCTGCAGACTTAGCCGGCAGATTCAAAAAGAAAACAATTTTTCTTTATCTATAGAGCACTGTCTAGAGCAGCCAGAAGAGAGAAAAAAAATACTCTTCATAGTACCGGTTAAGTGAAAAAGAAAGTATTTTAAGACTAAGGAAACCTAAGTCTTAGCATTGACTAAAATAAGCTTCTGTCAGGAGATGAGCTTGGAATCACCTCTTAAGCCACTGTCCAGCTTCCTCAATGAGTATTGATTTAGGTCAATAAAACAGAAAAGGCAAGACACAGCATGGCAATATTTAGACCCACAAGAAACACAATCGTCTGCATTTTTTTCTTGACTGTGTACCAGCACAGCCTCATCGGGAGTTTGTTACACTGTGTACTAGGAATTAGTCCTGGGATTTGGCTTGGGAGAGAGGGGGGGGAGAGAGAGAGAGAGATATTCCTCCAATGTAAAGGGTACTATTTCTGAAGATCCTCAACAGTGCAATAAAATGTAGGGAGATTCTCCGAGGGTATATATGTAATGTCCTGAGTTCCTTAACTGGACTCAGCTACGAGTCCAGTTACTGGTTTTCATTTACCAAAATAACATACCAAATCCTTTTTTCTTTCAAAATGATAACAGCTAATTCAAGCATGAACTAACTTGCCGGAATCTGTCCTATTAAATACATATCCCAAAGTACCCACTTACACTGTCATCATCAGCATCTATGTTGAAGTTTATCTCTGCGATCCTGTCAAAGGGAGCACTGCAAAAAGAAGGGAAAGAAACTTCAGTGATGGCATGGATTAACAAAGCACTTTTGCATCCCCAAGACAAGACCAGAGGATAGCTAACCGAAGAGACACTGTACATGACCACTCAATGCCTTCTGCGTTTGTTCCCTGAATATTCACTTCCCCATTACGTGCAATGGCTTCCTCTCTTTGAGATGAAAGATTATTTCGTATTTTTGAATATTTTAAAAAATACGTAGGATTTTCATTCTTGGGCCTGATTCAATACCTGAGTGAACAACCTTTGTCATTATCTTGTTGATATGGTATTTTGAGGCTTCATGGCAACCACAGCAATGTCTGGTTGTTATTTTGCAACTCTCATGATACCTATGCACTATAAAGGCTATCTTAATTTTGTTTACCGGGTCTCTCCAGCTGAACCAAATCTTATAGAAAAACCCCAAACTCATAATTAATTAAAAAGGAGCTGCACCCAGCTGCTCTGGGATTCCAGTCCTATGTTCACCCAAGAATCCCACTGGCTTCCTCAGCATGAGACAAGACCCAGAGAGACCGAATCCCGCACGGTGGGCATATATCCAGAAATATCCAGATAGGATTGCACCTGCCTGTTTCAACATAATTACAGTAACTTCAGGGAATCTTAGTGTAGCAGTGGCTCAACAACCCCGATGCATTACTATGACGTGAATGCTGCAAAAATCATTATATAACCCAATTTCTGATTTGGACGTAAGAGTGTCTATTGTAAGAACAGCAGAGGGTGCTACAGGCCAAAAAACTCCAACCTACTGGCACAGTTCGGGTCAATGCAGTAGTTTTTCACCGTATCTCTAAGTTTGGACAGTGTTGTTTTCTTTTAAAGACAACTGTTCAGTTAGCGAAAAATACTGTCATGCAAACCACCAGGACATTGAAACATGATTAATACTTCTTAAAATATTCAAATTCATATCTGCAACAGTTTTCAACAGCTGGAAAACAGATGACAGGGAGAATGTTCAATGCCAGAACAGTTTTGTAGTCACAAATACAGAGAGGGCTAGCACATCCCAGTTACAGATTTTGTTCAGTTTCACGTTCATCTTAAAATGGACATTAGCTACCTTCAGCAGCTCCTCACATAAGTTAACTCTTCCCCTCCACCTACACACACACGAGTTCAATATTTGCTGCTATCTGATAAGAAGTTAAAAGTGTATTTTTAAAAAAATGTGTAGAGCTAAGTAATCCGTGGTCAATTAAATTCTCATTCTAGTCTGGAACTTTTTGGCCTTATTAAAGTTCTGGACCACTACAATGCTCAGAAAAAAAAAAAGACAGGAAAGCTGGACTCCAGAAATCTTTCTCCATGTTAGAATACAGCTCCCAACTATTGGCAAACACCTTAATGGAGATCCTATGGCCCTAGGGATCTTATGACTCTCTGATTCATGCTTGAAAGCAACTCTGAAGCAGCCAAACTATTTCCACATTTTCATTTCATTTAAGATATTTCATGGAGCCCAACAGTTGCTAAAAACATGGTCTGAGCAGAACCAGCAAAAGAATCCTCAATAAATCAGATCTGGAGCAGCCAAAGAGTCGGAGCGGTGTGGCATGCCCAGAGCTTTCTGGGCTAAAAGCTTCCTGTTTCTGTCAGGATTCCAGGACACCAGGATCCTGCAGTTCATTGCAGAGCAGACCCAACATTTGCTGGCCTACGAGGATCAGCCCTAGGATGGTACGTACAGCAGGTACTGCCACATACTCTCCCTGTCACCTTGGATGACAAATAATTCCTTTGACTGAGACAAACATTGCCACAAGATGAAAGCGAATGGGCAAAATCGACAAGCGGGGAAACACACTGGGTATCCTCCTGGAGCACTTTTCTATCAATAAATGTATACTAAATGGTTACAATTTCCGAACCATTATGGACAAACAGGATAATTACAGTCCCAGTAATTTCCTTAGCTACAATTTTTAAGGTGAGAAGATGAGCTGCAGTTTTAATTAGATTACAGTAGTTCTATAAAAGCAGCACCACTTCTGAACACTGAATTCAGAAAGTCGCGTAACATTAAATCCACCTCTATCTGCCTTCTTTCAACTGTTATTTGCTCCTGCCTTATCTATGTTTCCTTATTCCTAAGAGAGAAAATGGCTAAATTTTTCCGTGGACTTCATCAGAACACTATTCTTTCTACTCCTAATTTCAATAAGGACTTAATGCCACTGGAGAATATCTGTATAATTGCCTAGAGTTAGCTCTAATGCTTTGCCTTCTGTGCAATTAAATTTATTCTAGAATATGGTTGGATAATAGTTGTGTGTTTTATTTAAAATGCTTCTCTTCAAAATGAAGAAATACTTTTCCTTGGTTCTACAACTGTCTTTGGAGATCAGGGGTGGACTCCTATAAAAAGGAAAAAAGGTCAGCTGTTTTCCAAGCCATTGATCAGTCTTCTGTTTGTTTCAAACCAAAGGAGGTATACAGTGAGGTTCATTTTAAAACCTGAACCAGAAGAAGAAAGAGTAGATGTAAAGAGGCTTAAATGCTGAATATAAGCCTCTTGAAGTTTTATAAACTTACTTGATATTATCATCCTGGTCTGCAAACTCCTCATCGTTAAAGCCAAACTGATCCACAAAGTTAGCTGTCATCTGCTGGATCTGGTACTCAGAGAAGGCCTGAGCAATGGAACCCAAAAAGAGCTATCATTAAGGTGTCCAAAAGATATTCAATTCAGCTGGCTGAAAACACATATTCTAAAAAACATTAAAAGCATAGAAAACTGACAAACTTTGAGAAATCATCTACTCCAACCCCCTTTCTCAAAGCAGGATCTCAAATAGACTGTTCTCAGACAGACTTCTGCAAGTCCTGGACAGATGCTTCTCTGATCCACTCTTAACTTCTTCCAAAGAGAATTACGAAATTTTCCTAGGAAACCATTTGTTGGCCTCATTATTCTATTAGAACATTGTATTGGGTTTTTTTCATTTGTTTGTTTTCCCCTGATCCAATACGAAATTTACCTTGCTGCACCATAAACCCACCACGGACATCAAGAAGGTACTTTTCACTTCCTCTAAATCCCTCTTCCTTGTAGGAGGAGGAATATGTCTGCACATAATCTTGTCTTCTCTTGACCAAGTGGACCAAATCCTTTCAACTTGTCTTCCTATGTCATGTTCTACACCTCTGATCATCCTCATTACTATTCTCTAGCTTACTTTTTGCTAATACAAACCACTTTTGAAGTTCACTGCCTCCAACTGGACATTCACCAAGGAGAATGGGAAAATCACTCCATATGTCTCTGAGACAACACTCCCACCTATCATACGTTTGGTTTCCCACAGCAGCTTGGGTCTTCTATTTTTCATCTTGCACCTCAGGATAATTGCCCAGATATGCTTTTGGTCACATTCTTGCCTACTCATCCATGCCTCATTCTCTATTTATGAAAAGGATTGCTTCTGCCTCCAAATAGAATCTCACACTTGCTCTTATGCATTGCATTTTTTTTCCCGCAATCATTTCTCCTATTTGGAGGATAATTCTGGATACTGGTAGGTAGCCCACTCCAGCTACAGCTAAGTAATTCAAACATGCATCTCTGCAGCTGCACTTTGTCGTGACTCCACTGCAGGTGATATGAAGTACCCATGTTCCTGCCTGAGGAGTTCTGCAGGCTCCTGTCAGTATTTCTGTTGACATGTGTCACAATAAAAGACACAACAATTTTTTTTTTTTTTTTTTTTTAACAAAGGCAATGCATTTTCCCTTTTTTAATGCACTTTCTAAGTATCAGCTGAGGAAAAGACATGTATTTGTAATGACAGAGTAGTCAGTTAGAGTATTTGGACAAAAGAATAACTATAAGCTATTTTCAGCTCATTCTTACCCTTAACTAGATTTCAGATTGAGATTGTCTTTTTACTCCCCATAGGTAGCTTCCTACTAAACAGGTTGAAACTTGTACGTTATGCTAATGCTTTTTATGTTCTTAGCATCAAAAAAGGTTGGAAGAACTTGTCTAAATATTTGATCCTGAAAAGCAGCTTCCATAGATTTGATAGAGCTTTAGCAGACTACCTCGGATTTTGAGGATCCCAAGATCTTTGCTAAATGCAAGTGAACCCTTAATTACCTCCATTTCTTCCTAAGTCAAGGCTTTTTACTGCTAGTGTTTACTGCTCTTTATTGCTAACGTTTTAGTATGGCTCTTTCAGTTTTTAATAGAAGTCTGCGTAGCCCAAGGGGAAGCAGAACCCCTCTATCAGCTCCAATTCTCCTGCAGGTAGGTGATGCACAGTACCTTGTTGGCTGGGAAACACAGCAACTCACTGCAGCTGGTCTACAACGTCAGGACCACCCAGCCCCCCAGTGCGGAGAGAACCAGGAAAAGAGAAAGAAATATGCAGTGCCTTACAGAAATGTGAGGCACATCATGTATCTGGGACTTGCATGCAGTCTGAGCTAAATTTATTCCCAATTGGAGTCTAGACCATGTAAGTAACTATACTGGAAAAAACACAAGAGAGATGAACACGCTGACTAAGAGCAAAATTTAGGAAGCTCCTCTACACTAGGATGGATTAAGGCAAATCAGGGAAGCAAGCTTTCCAGGAATAGTGGAGAGCACATTGTCAACTCACCTGTTGGAGAGAAAGTTCATTGGGAAAAGCACTCTCTATGTCTTCATCCTCACTGGAAGAGTGCAGATGGTGAGTGCTCACCTGAAAAAAGTACAAAAAATAAGCTAAGAGAGCTCAAATACTTTTGTACCACACATACAATCAAAGACCAAACTCCTCAGAAGGCAGAAACTGTCCCAATGAATAACACAGAAACATGGACTAGAGTTTACCAACATGTATCAGAGCTGCTGCTGCTTGAAGAACTATTATGGAATATGTTTTCCACAAACACTCTGCCCTTGTAAGCCTACTTCATAAAAACAAGCAAAAGAAGAAAAAACCCCAGCAATAGCACTTTTTTTTAGTTAAATAAAGTCCAGAAGACAGCAGGCCTATCTGAAATATACACAATATCACTGTTCTCACCAAATCCACTGTATTCCTCCTGTTTGTTTCCGTCAGCGTCTCTTCTACAAAACTCTCCCATCTCCCTCTACAATCTTCGGGTAGCTCTGTAATAAAAAAGTCACCATAAAGATTACCACAACTCAGTGAGAAGGGATCAAAGCCAGTCATTTAGCCCCACTGGTTACCTGGAAGTTTTTGAGCAGACACGTACACCTGCACGTGAGCTAAGTAATGCATGTATTATGTAAGTGCTCTGCAAAGTGAATTACATTTTACTCCTGACTTTCTAAAAATGGTAAATTCTGCAGAGAAAGGAACATCTTTCATTAGGCCAACCAGTAAGATATTACTGGTCTTAACAATCTTAACTCGCTTGTGGAATTACAGTGGGCTAAAGATACAAAACTTCTACTACAACTTTCTGAAAACCAGCATACATGTGACTTAAGTTTTACTTTTTTCTTCCTTTTCTTTCATGGTGATTGTGGTGGGTTGACCCCAGCCAGCAACTAAGCACCCACCCAGCTGCTTGCTCCCTCCACCCCACAGCAAGATGGGGGAGAGAATTGGAAGACCAAAAGCGAGAAAAACTCATGGGTTGAGATAAAGAAAGTTTAGTAAGTGGAGAAAAGAGGAAAAAAAACCCAAACCAAGTGATGCAAAGGCACTCACTCACCACCTCCCACCACCAGCAGACTGATGCTTAGCCAGTCTCTGAGCAGGAGCTACCTTGGAAAGACTGTCCCCCCAGTTCCTACTGCTGAGTACATGCCATAGAATATCCCTTCAGTCAATCCAGGTCAGCTGTCCCAGCTGTGTCCCCTCCCAGCCTCTCGTCCACCCCCATCTGCCCCCCAGGATGGGGACAGAGTGGGTAAAAGAGAAAGCCTTGGCACTGCGCAAGCACTGCTCAGCAATAGCTAAAACAGTGGTGTGTTACCAACACCGTTTTAGTCACAAATCCAAAACACAGCACGGCACAGCTGCTATGAATAACATTATCTTCATCCCAGCCAGACCCAGTACAGTAAAACAACGGAGAGAAATAACCGTGACTTGTGAAACTTTCAGCCTTTACTAAAATATTTCAATTTCACGTAGATATGACAACACACCAAGTTACTACATTACCATTTGATATGTTTGTTAGATGCCAAAAATGGAAACTCAAGTCATATTTGTGCTCGCTGTTTCCCTTAATAGATGCAGATGGAAAATCTTACTTCCTCTCACACAAAAACGTCAGACAGAACTAGTTCTCAAAATAAAGTCCAATGAAGGCATGACGGACAAAGCCTGGCAATGTGGATATCTCCAACAAAGCGGAGATGTGGGGCCTCTGTGATCATTTACCCTGGTGTCTCCCTTCCTCTCGGACAGGTTTAAGAATAAGGAAGTATAGAAGCACCATTCATAAACACCACCCTAGAATGCTGTAAATAGGCACTATAAACGTACACATAAGTCCAGATGAAAAGAAGCATTCTTTAGCACAAAAAGGATACCTTCAGCCTCCAGCTGCAAAAACAAAGTTCCAACAATTTCAATGTAATTGTATGAAAACAAAGAGCAACCAACTTTGGTCTAGACATTTTTTTAAGTTATGGGAAATTGTGATATTTAACTGGAAATTCTTTTCATTATAAAAGGGATGAAATACACGCAATAAAAGTCTTTCCAAAAGGCCTGCAAGGGTAATTTAATTGGGGGGGGGGGGGGGGGGAGAGGAAAGGAATGGAGAAAGGAGCATGTACCTTTAATGAACTCACTAATTTGAGTCTGCATGGGGCCCTTCTCCATATTCTGTACTACAGCATTGGCTATCCGGGTGAGGTGGCCCATATTGCCTCGCCTCATTCCACCTTCTGCCCTGAAAAGAGAAAACAGCCAGTAGCAATATAACCAGGCACCAAGAATCACAGGGTCACAGTCATAACCACTTTCATAACCTAGACATGCTAAGAGTTCCCTGCCCTTGCAATAGTCTGACAAACGTACACGTTACTCCAAGCAGGGTTAGGATAGAAGATGCAGCAGAGAATCAGCAGGAATACTCTCTGCTCATGCAGGCAGGGCACAGGACGAGTTTACCAGAATAAATGAACCTTTCTGCATTTTTTCATGTAGTGAGAGGGAAGAGATCACTCATCCAGTTTGAATGCACTAGATAAAATTTAAGCCAGTTGCAAAGAGTAAGCTAACCGGGTACATCAAAAGACCGGTGCAGAACTAAATAATCTGGTTATAATTTCCACTAAAGAAAACTCACAGCAATAAGAATTTACATCACTGCTACTGAAAAAGCTTTAGAGTTTTACTTGCAATTGAAGTATTTAGCAGATTAATTCAAGAGAACAAAAGACACTAATCTACAACCATTAGATTTTCCCCTTACAAAAAAAAAAAAAAAAAGAAGCCAACACTAAGTCCAAGCAGTCTCTAAGTCACTTTTCTTTGAATCTTCATTGGTTCTCCTTCACTGGATAGCAAAGAAGCAATCTAAAAATCAGAGGATGAAGAGCCTGAAATAATTCTGCTTTCCACAGTATCCAAAGGAGGACTGATGAGATTTGGGAAGAAAAATGTAAACCCTAGGGGCAGACTCCTGGTAAGAAATTTCACAGTGCCGTGTTTAGAAACAGCATTTCTGCCTTTAAACTGGCAGGTGCTGAAAAGAAGCCCAAACAAAGCTCTTACACACAATGCTATTATTCATTGTAACATTATGCACATTAAAGTATCCCAAATCCTAAAGTCAAATTCAGAAATTATTATTTCTTGATGTAGCGCAAGGTTGACTCAAGCCACCACAAATCAAATTGGTGGGTCAGAATCAAAGTAAATGAAAATAAACCCCTTACAAACAGGATGACAAGAAGTTTCCACCTCATGTTACTAAGTCTCCAGCTGTAAAACAAAGGTTCCTTTCCGAGATGCTAACAGAGCCAACGCATAATGAAGACGTTCACTTTTCCTTGGGAGAGAGGAAGACACTAAATACATCAGAGTTCATTTTGAGCTGGTATGCAGTGCTCATGTAAATTCCTCTCCACCCTTGCTGGGGGGATTGGTGTGCAGCGGTCTAAGCCGACAGGTCGAATACAGCAAAGTCATCAGACGGCATCAGCTCTCCTGATCACATGCAGTTACAGCTACATTTTTAAGCTTTTTTTATGACACCCACACCCCTTGAAAAGTGTAATCATCACCCCCTGAATCTCTAAAAAGGGTAAGTTTATACTGAAATTATCTCAGGCTTTCCCATAATGTTGGAGCTGAACATATGCAGGTGAGGAGACTAGATGGTTTGGGAAAAAATCCGCCTTACCCCTCCACATGTTCCCGTACCAAAAAACAGAGTACAAAGCCAATACAAACTGTAGTTGTACAAATGTCCTATACGAACAGCAGCACTCTAACTCTAACCCCAAATTCAGGGTTTAGAACTATTCAAATAAAACGAACTCCTGGAAATGAGTTCCCAATGCTAAGCTACAGCCTTTTGCACACAGGCTCGTGGCAATTTCTTTCGCACCCCAAACCAACGAGAGAGCAAATAGCCCCAGCCTAGATCCACGGCACTGCTGAGCGCCTCGGCCGCACCAGTCCTGCTGCGAGCCCAGAGCCACCCCCCGGCACCACCGTTCTCGGGTCGGAGCCCGTCTGCGCCAGGGCAGCTGGAAACACGGGGTACCCACGTACCCACAGGACCACACAGGCACACCAAGAGGCGGCTTACAGCAGCACTTCATCAGGGCCCTGCAAGAGAGCTGCGCAAGAGCTCTGGAGGACAAAACCCGTGGGTAGATGGGGCGACGGGACACAGCCCTGACACGACCAGCAGCACTGTCCTATTGCTCTCTATAAAAATGTATGGTTTTCAGCAAACTTGCAAAGCTCAGCTTTCTCAAAAATTTAAAGTGTACAGTGATAAAAGCAGCGTACAGCAATGTTGTATCTGTCTTCTCCGGTTGTATACTCTGGGAGGACCAATACAACATTTTTTCTGACTTCACCAGTCCTTAACACACGGCTGGAATGCAGGCAGCAAACATGCAAAATTAACTTTTATTTCAACACTTTCAAATACTTTTTAATCAACCATGCCACAACTGGTGGTTATTACATTTACATGAATGGAAGGCAAAGATGTGCTACAGTAAACTGATGTTTCCTATAAACTCACATTGCTGACCAGACTTATTTTAAATTCTAATTACCTAGGCAGATCAAATGGACTGCAGTAAAAGAATTATGTGGGTCACCTAGAAGTTAAATTCTAGTAGTTACAAAGTCCTTTATCAAGAACATACGGAGTAACTAAAACTAAGAGAAACCAAGGAGAAATTCCATGTTCCAACAGGAAAACATATTACCACTATTCTTGCTGATGATTTAAGAAATAATTCCCAAGCTCTCCATTTGGAATCTCTGACCCCGGGGCTCCTAGTGCTTGACTCCATCTCCTCACTGAGTGCATACAGTAATCTTCACATAAACTCAAACTTCTTAAAGCACAGCATCTGAGATACCTCTCTGTTAACTTAATATTTTTTTCTTGTCATTAAAATTCTTTCCAATGTGTTGACTGGAACTGTTTGGCATGAAATATGTATGAGCTCTAGTTCCTATCTAATTTAATTAGGAAAACTCTTAAGCAGAAACAACAGATATTTCTGTTACCTACAAAACTGTGCACAAGGATAGTTGTGCAATGAAACTATCAGCAAAATTTGTTATCAACAGCCCAAGGGGTTGCAAGAGGGAAAAAAAACAAAAAAAAGCCAACCAAACCAAACCAAAACAAATAAAAAAATCAAACCAAAACCCAACCCACCAATTATGGCCTGACACTAAGCCTAAAATAATTACAGTGGGACTACAAAGCACTTTGAAGCCATAACGAGCTCAAAATAGTGAGGGAGGACCAAAACATTTAGGTGGACAAAGAAACAGAAGCCTAGATAATATTTTCACTTTAATATGTTTTAGGGTTTTTTAATTATTTAGTTCTTATAATCATTGCAATCAGCATGAACTCCAAGTGCTTTATAAAGTTAGAATATTAAATGTGGGGCAAATCTGGGGCAAAAATGCTTGCCCACCTCACTTCCCATACAGTTGCTCACTCTAGGGAGAATATAATTATGCATTAAAAAAAAAAAAGAAAAAGTAAAAAGTTAATAGTCTATGTAATTAATATGCTATGTAATTTCCTGAGAAAGCAAGAAAGAACCATATTGTGTATTTGGGTTGAGATGTTATAAGCATTTAAAAAAAAAAATCATGCTTTCAAATTATATGCCTACTTGGTGAATTTGCTTTTTAACATGCAAATAATCCTAATTCCAAATCACAACTGAAATCCAAATCATTTTAGACACCATTAAATTGGAAATTATCCAAATAATTGAAAGAATATTTCAAGGCAATATTCTAAATCTGCAGCCCTAGAACAAGGGCCTTCTGAACCCGAAATCCCTTACTGTATTTTGTCATTGGCTTCCCAGGCATCCAGTATCCTTTGCACTAGGCAGCATTTCTGGAACAGCTAGAGAAAAAAAAAAAAAAAAGAGAGATAGGAAGAACATTTCAAAAGTTTGCCAAAGTAAGACTCATGCCTTAGGAAGTCTGTACTGAACTATAGTTACTTTTGTTCATTCCTTCACTCCTACTGAACAAGAACTTAAAGTTCAGCACTTATCTTCCCCAAGAGCTCAAGTTTCTTCTTTCTCATTTTTTTTTTCCTCAGAGGATCCAGGGAAAACAGTTATACCTATAAACATCTTCAGCCTGCTTTTGGGCTTCACATGAGCAGCAATGAAGAACATTACTGTCATTTTGCAAACACAACAAAAAATTTTCATCATTAGGGCCACAATGCAGAAGCTAAAATGTAGTTAGCTAGTTGTAGTTGGGGTTTTTTTTTGTCCAAAGTTTATATGCATCTTCACTAGAAAAATTAAATAAAAATGGATTCACAAGCCCATTAAAATGAGATGGGTGGTATGTTTATTTTGTAATTGGATGCTAAAAACAGATGTACAAAAGCAAATACACTTCCACCCAGAACTGACAGAATCAAGCTGTATCTAGACACTTTTAAATAAACTCCATGCTCTTGAACAGTTCGTCATACCATTTTCTTGTTAACGCATATTCTGGCTGAATCAATCAGTCTAAAACTCTCAGGTGACACGACCAGACTTACATGCGTAACCATGATATTCTCGGTATTGTTTTCTGGAGTCTCTAAGCTCTCTGTGGCCACATTTCCATTCAGCACCTCTTCTTTGCTTTCTAGGTCATTAGTAGTAGTTTTTCCCTCTTGCACAGAGTGTGAGAGAATAGCTGCTATGGACAATTCCACTTGGAAATGCAAAAAGTTATTCCATGTGTATTTAAAAAATAAGTCCTGGAAAAAAATGAGAAATAAAAGAATTCATTCTAGATACACCTTCCCATTCTTAACAATCGAATGATTTAGAACACTGCCCAACTAGTTGTTTAATCAGCAGTTCTGCTAAAACAATGTTACTTATATGCCTCAGTATCCACTTATAGTTGAATGGGCTCTCTTTGCTCTGCTGTAACGTATACTTTCCTATAAACCGAGCACACTGGAAATACTCTCGTACACAGCCAGGGCTCACAGCGCAGACATACTAAAAATAAACGTTATCTGTTCTATGGCAGAACTGATCATAAGAAAAATATTAAGAAAATAATTTCTAAGTATAAAAATAATTTTCTGAAAGACTGTTCTGGTTATACTGGCAGTTTTCAGAACATGTCCCTGTTCACAGCTAGACAAAAAGATCAGCTCTCAGTATTATGAGAGCTGATATAACCAACATACCCAAGCTTTCTCAATAACCAGAGTATTTTGCACACACACTACTAAACTACTGTAACAATAAATTTGAAGCATGAGGTTCAGTTCAAAATACTAAGCAACTGTATTTGTATTACAAAAGTTATTCTGAAGATGGATGTTCCTCCTTTCAGCAGATTAGAAAAATAATTACACACCGGCACACGTGGAACAAACTACCTTGCACTGAACAGATGAAAGGGAGAGCAAAAATGTTCCCAGTTTAAAGTTACTTCCCCCCTCCCCATCCACAGTGTCACACTATATTACTCACAAGTAGTAAGTTCATGGTACTGAGTCTGCATAGTTCCTGATTAATACTGGGAGTGTTTGTGTGAAGCAGAGCAGCTATTAGACGAGATCCATGAAGACGAGCATTCCCCAGTGGCTCCTCCAAGACACCAATTGTAGTTAGGATTGCTGTTTTCTATCAGAGAAACGGATAATGAGTACCTCAACAAAGATCGGCATTTCCTTGGGCGTATATGCACAATGATTTGACTAAACATAACTAGTTCATTTCATAAATATTCTCTGCAGGTAAATGTAAACCAACTTCCCACACAGAGGACAATGTCGTGTGACCACTGAGAGACTTGTACTTCCTAAACTGAAGATTAAAATCCAAATATCCACGAGCTAAAAGTTCCTTTCTCTTCACCCCCTCACCATCTTTACACAAGCCACCAGTCCCAACACATCTCTACTTCTTGGTTTTACTCGAATACAATGGCTTTCAAAATTCCTACTGCTTAGTCCCGAAGCACCTGAATTTTAAACTTTAAGCGTGAATTTTTCTTCAAAAGACATTTGCCTGTTCCAGCATATGGCGCTTTCAGAAAAGATCCAGGAAGCCTGTGTATAAGGAAAGGGAAACCCTGAAATGCAGGAGCCATTTGCTCTTGAGAAAGGCTGAGACGCTTTACCTTGGGAGGGCTGAGCAGCAGCTGGTGGAAATCCTTTAGCCTTGGTTCAATCCCATGCAAGATGCTGCTATTGACAGTGTAAGACCTTTCAAATCCCTGAGTGTACGAGTCCATCAGTCCTTCCACTCTGTAAAGAAGAAAAGCACAACAGTTAAGATTTGACAAAATCTTAAAATGGTCTCCAGTCATGCTGTCCACGTTGGTAATTTTCTCTTGAAATATAACTACTAATGTGAAAAATAATAATTTCCAGCTACTGAATATATTTACATAACTACACTATATTAATAAATCATTTACAAGATGATATTCACATAATCAAAACTGTGAATGAGGTGAGTGGGAAGACAGACAATAAGCCGTCTGCGGAGCTGACAAAGACAAATTACTGAAGCGCTTCCTGGTTTTTGAAACTTCCCGAACATTTGAAAAGTAAATTACATCAGCAAGAGTTAACTATAAACATTTGTTAAAAACTGTAAACCTTCCACAAGTGTTCAAAAAGAAGTACATAATACTAACTGATGAAAACCTTGAGCAGGCATGTGGCTGTGCTTATAATCGTACCTCTTTACTGGCAAGCACTGAATCACCACAACTATTACCAGCCCCTTCCAACAGCAGAGTCTCACATAAGAATAAAATAAATACTTTCATTTCAGTAATGAAATGTAATTCCAGCGAGGCCGGAATGGGCTAGATAGGAACCCCTAAGCCTCTAACTCATAACTTTTCAGAGATCCTGGGCACAAGACACAGTAGAATTAGTATCTCAACTTTTCAGTTTTAACTCTGCACATGACTTTCTGACTAGCAACTTGTTTGCCCAGTGCCATCTTCTGTCCTTCTCTCCAGCACCTCTTCCTAATCTTCCATTATCTCCTTCACCCTTCCTTATTTTCTCCTTTTTTAGAAATTGAGATTTTCAATGTCTCACTTCCTCCCCAGAACGCCTTTTGCCTTTTCTCCTCTATCTCCATAAAAAGAAATAAAAGGGGGATATAATTTTAAAAAACAAAACTAAAACTATACAGCCATAAATAGATATATACATCATCACACAGATTATGCATGATGTACCATTTCCTCCCCCACTCTGCAAACGTTTTGCCGGAAGATCTCTGCTATTACAGGCAAGACTTTGCTATACACACGCAAGAGAACTAGAAGAGCCCGGAGAAGGGCCCAGTGGCCAACTGGTACAACTGCCATGAGGTACAGCTACTGCACCAAAAAACCCAAACAGCCTTTCTTGTACTCATTTCTAGACAGCACTTCACACTAGGCCAAAAAAATTACTTTTTTGCTTAAGTAAAACTAGACTGGAGTTCCTAAAATTGTTCTTGCTAGGGAAGAAAGTGCTAACTTACCCAGAGCGCCTTGTTTCCAGCAACGTTAGAAGAACTTGTGTTCCATTCACTATGCAATTTTCAGTCTGTTCTCCATCAAACATGTTCTTCAGGAGTTGCTCCACACATTCCTGCCTGTTGATCAACACACACATTAGCGGTATAAGAATTAGAAACATTTGGCAGTTGCTTTAATCACAAAAATTTTTTTTTTTTTTTTTTTGAGAAAGAATAAAGACATTCCTCTCTAAAGTCTCATATGACAAGAATGGTTCTACACCAGGTTTCTGAACTTGCTTACTAAGGTCATTAAGGAAAGACCTGGTTATAACACCTAGACTCCAAACCAAATTGTCATTCTCCTTTATCAACAGGATATACCTCTTCATTATAAACTGGAGGAAAACCGAAGTGTTAACTCAGTCAATTAAATTTAAGACAATATGTAGCTATTAGCTGATAGTCTAAAATTATCCATCAGAATCGCAGAAGAAAGACAACAAGCAGTGGAAGGTGACCCTTATCATTTGCCACTGGCAGAAGATGATCCAGGACCTGGAAACAGAGGCCAACAAATGCTAACTGTAAATAATACGCACACTTTTAGTAGTCTTGGCTATCATCCCCTTGAAATATTTTAACCAATTCACCATCTCTTTAAGCCCTTAAACCAGGATAATACTGACAGATTTGGGGCCAGGTGGAGGGATCACCAAGTAAAGTGTTGAAGACTGCTGGAGTCAGAATGAATGACGACTATGGTCCTTTCTAGCATTAAAAATTATTTTGACACTCAAAACATGGTCTTAGAATTGAAGAATAATTAGCACAAAGGTAAGAGCCCACTTTTCTCTCTACTATTTGCCATGCTAAATGAATAATAGATATGAGGAATACGAGGTTCAAGCTGGCGCTGTTATCATCTACAGCTACTTGACTGCAGCAGTGCCGGCTTCCACCTCTGTATTCAGATTCTCTCCCCATGCTAATTCTGCGGATGTTAATGACAGTTCTCCAAAATCCAGTACTCAGCAAGTGCCTTTCTTGACTTGCTAAGTCACATGTCCAGCTAAAAACAGTATTTCTCAAGTTCACAGTCTAATTTTTACTATTTTCTAACATTTGAAAAAAAATCTCATTTACATTTGTATAAATAAAATATGAGATAAAAATGTGAAATACATGAATAATGAATGAGATAGAATTATTTTAATAAGTATCATCTAAATACACTCCATCAGCACAAGCACAAGAGGCAGAGTCAGGAAAAAGAAGTAACAGATTACCATGATTAACTGAATTCACTTTTATTGCATACAGCCAGCCGTTATTGAAAATCTAGATTTGATGTTTATTCTGTAACCCTGATCACGGCTTTCTCTTGCTGTACTAGCTGATCATTAATTCATAATTCATAAATAAAAAAAGTTATCAAAAGATCAAAAAAGGTTACCAGCAATGCTTGGAAAAATTGGCCAAGAAAAGTAATGAGATATGTGACCTTCAGCAAAAAGGTAAGTTGTGCAAAAAATCATTTTCATTCAAAATATTTTTTCTTCTAAACAGTGAAGCGGTATAATGACTTTTACAAATGCTTTTTCAAAGTGAAAAAACATTTTTTTCTCTTATGGAAGCTACAGGTAAAGCTTGAAAACATGCAAAGTGCATATACAGAGAACACCAGGGACGTGAGGGTGAATGGGAGGGAGAGAGAAGGGAGAGGGGGAAGAAGCTGAAGACCGTCTGAGTAAAGTACGAGCGAAACTTCAGATTCCAGCTTTGTATAATTCCCTGTATAATCAAGGAAACTTGCTTAAATTCTACCACTGGTGTCACAGAGGCTCTTGCGAAAGACCACGGGCAGCAATCTTCTGCCCCACACACAGCAGGGCTCCACATCCCTCTCCGAAACTACTGAGAAAGTCTAAAACTACCGAGAAAGTCTAAAACTACCGAAACAGCCTAAAAGTACCGTGTTCTCCACAGCCCACCACACCTCTCACCACAGTGAACCATGACCCTCGTTAAAGGTCCTGGGCTTTCCAGGTGAAATGACCAAGCCGGAGGCTCATCTCCAACCTCTAAAGGGCTCAAAACTGATACAGACTTGATGAGATGCTGAAGGCTCCACAACCAGGGATGCCATCTGCACGGAAAATCCAACATCGTGCTATCTGGTAAGAAAATATTATGGTAGGGCATGGGACAAAAGGCCAGATCTGCCTTATTTCTGCAGGCGCAGTAAAGGAAATGAAGCACTTAAGAAAGAGCATTTCCTTGCAGGGGCAGAGTTACAGGTGAAGCCCACGGAAGATCTTGAGCACACCTGCGGTGACCACCGCTTTTCAGAGCTCGTGTGCAGCACGACTGACGTCCCGTTTTCACCTACACACATCGGCTCCTGTCCCAACAGGTCCCCCTCATATTCGTGTATGAACTGACAGCTCAGAATCAGGAGAAAATAACAGCAATGTCACAGAAATTAAGAAAGCTCTGGATCAACAAAAACATGTAAAAGAGGAATTTTAAGCCCTAGTCATAGATGCTATATTATTCATTGCAAGTCTCTTGTTTCATCCCTTTTCTGTCAAAATGGCGCCTTTAGGCCTAAAAGAGCCTTTTTTTTATTTTAATCTCACATTGAATCTCCAGTAAATGTTTTCAGGTTTGAAGCAAATATAGGAAGCAGTAAACATGCTAACATGAGCAATTTAAAACTACATTATAAAGAGCAAAGAAACAATGCCAAGGGAATAGACTAAACTTGAAAAATCAACATTTTCTGGTACACAACTCATACTTAACATTATTTGGGAAATAACTCCTAATAAAAATACTCTTTGAAAGTGCAAGTTTCTCATCAATATATTCCCTCAGTAATATTAGAGAAGTTAGCTCTGGATTTAAAAAACAAAAAAAATCCTTTAAATGAAAAAAATTCTTCCAAGTTTCACTGCAAGTTGTCTGGACCTACAACCGCAGGTTCTGAAAAGAAGCGCTGAGCACCGCTAGCTGGGATCACAAACATCCTTACATCCTTTTTTCAAGAGAACACCTTCTAGCAAATGTAACTTAAAAAACCTGAAATACTACAAATGCTTCTTTTGCCAGCTATACACTATTGCCATTTTATCACTAGGTTACATCTTTAGAATAACCCAACGCACCCCCCAAACAGTTTCCAAATGATGGAATTCACTAGATTCCCCTCCCCACAATTATTTTAGTGACAGACTGCCTTCAAGTAAGTTATACAAGATTGTCTGCAAACATGACAAAACACTTAGGAACCAAAACAGCTTTTCTACTTTTCCAGCCAAACTACCAGGGCTAATAAAAGACAACAATATCTCTATTTACAAATCTTGTCTGCAATGTTTATCAATCAGAAGGTGGAAAATGATTAAACCAATTATGTGTCTGCATTGTGACAGGTCATCGATATATAAGGAAGACATTTTTGACGCTGAGGGTGGTGAAGCACTGGCCCAGGTTGCCCAGAGAGGTGGTGGATGCCCCATCCCTGGAAACATTCCAGGTCAGGTTGGACGGGGCTCTGAGCAGCCTGATCTAGTCGAAGATGTCCCTGCCCATGGCAGGGGCGTTGGACTAGATGACCTTTAGAGGTCCCTTCCAACCCAAACTATTCTATGATTCTATCTCTAGTTAAAGCACTGCACAATGTTTCTGAGACATGATGAGAGCTCATGATGGTTGCAGGTGACAGGGCTTTGAGGAAAAAGTAGCAGCTGACACTACCTCTAATGTATTAATGGATCCACAGGGATGGTAGAAAGAGAGAGGAGATCTGAATCGTCACTGTCTAGCCCTAACACCACAAATAAATGGAATTACTTTCTGAATGATGAGGGAGGGCTAGGGAGGCATTTAAAGTGTGCAGGCTTACTTCTTTCAGGGTTCAACCCAATTTGGAGAATAAAAACAGGAAGATTAATGATTCAGTCTAAGTAACAGCCAGGCAGACAATCTTTGGTGAGATGTATCAGGCAGTATCTCAGCATCACCTTATCTCTGTGGAAGTGCATGCAACCCAAGGTTCACATTAAGTTAAGAAATTTACAACTGATATTTGACTCAGGAGCCAAAAATAGCATGCCAGAGGACACTCAGATGTGTAAGGAGACCTCAGCAAAGGTTGGAAGGTAAGCTGATAATGCCCCGTACAAAGTGCATGGTGACATATGAGCTACTATGGTGAGAGAACTCCTTCTGTTGTCACAGCATTTTCTTCCCCATTTTGAAGAACGGCAACTTGATGATCTGAAATCCATCTATATGGTGCAACATGTTTATCAGCAGGGGAAAAGAGCCACTGATTGGCCAAGTATGACTGAAGCCCTGCACCTAAGTCACACTTGGCACCAAGGAACACCGTCAACATGGGAATTTTAAGATTTGTCTTTGTGGGATCTCCCTCAACTATTGCCACTGCAGTTCACCTTTCTCCGAATTCACTATGAGCGTTTTAACACACTCGCGAGTATTGCCTTGTCTTGAATTAGGCTGTGAGCTTTGGGGATCATTAACCCCAATTCTCCTGCCTGCAGACAGAGCTACAAAACCCAGAAAGCTCGACAGAGGCGGTTAAGTGATGCTACAATTTAAAAGCAATATTAAATGGTTGGCACAAATGTCAAGACTTAAGCAAAGGTTTGACATGCACAGTTTGTGTCCCTGGAGAGCTATCAGTAAGTGACAATGTAAGTAGCAATTAGTTTAGCAACAGTCCTCTGACAAGTACTTACGATTCCAGTGCTGTGAGAAGTGGATCAGGCTCAGGTATATCCTGGAGTTGATTGCTCTGGTCTCTGCTCAATCTTATGATATCACACAGGGTCTGGGAAGCATTTGATTGCCTCTGTAAACAACGACATAGAGCACATTTCAGTGCTAACGTCTCAACTTGGCTCATTCTGGCTGTCAGAGAAAATTTAACATAGCTGGGAATGCAAGAAACTGAATAAATCAATTTTTCAGAACAACTGCTACCATGCTCTAGATTATTCATCTGTTAAATATAACATTGATGTGAATTATTAGAAGCATTAACAGATCTTATAATCAAAGAGGAGGTCTTCCTAAACTTAACAATTAAATGCAGTTAAAGATTTCAGAAAGTGAGGATTCTTTTTTTATCTTTCTGACCAAGTGTGTTAACTTGCAAATTTCAAATACAAGTATTTCATTCTTACTTCTCACTACTCAGGAGGTTTCCTGCGTAAAGAAAAATAAATGACTTGATAAAACCCTTTACAATTTAATTACTATGTATTAAAAGGCTTTAAAGTCGTATTTTGCTAAATTAATCGTCTCATTCTGGCTATCAGTCAAAGACTGTCTGTAGCTACTGTATGTTTAAGATCTTATGTTGTAATTTAGCATTCACCCGTAAGATAGCACTGCTGAAGGCATACAAATCAGCATGTTATTTCCCGTTTTTTTCTCTCAGAAGGGGCAATTTTTGCTGTGATGAGATGAGGGGATCATATTGTCGGCATTAACACTATACCAAAAGAATCCTGCGCCATCCAGTTCGCTTTGCTGCTGGCACTCGCAGGAATCTGTTAACAAATGCCCCCATCCCCGTCTAAGTCAACGCAGGCCAGCTAGAGATCAACACGCTTCTTGTGGTTTTCTGCTCAGCATCAGGGATAGCAGTCAACACTCAAATGTGAAATGATAGTGTAGGAAACTGAAATCCAGACCTGGAGCTCCTGGCTCCGACGTTTTGTGAAAATTATTGAAAGAACAAAAAAGGGGAAGGGGAAAAAAAAAAAAGAGAGCACTCATAAAATTTAATACTCAGCACGTCTTTCTCATGGGCTTAGAGAATTGCATCCTGTAGATTTTATAACTGAATACCTTACTTAGGGTCTAAAAAGAATTGAAAGTTACAGTGAACTGGTTAATTTTAAGTTTTTCAACAGCTTGTTTCAAATAACAGGTTCCTACTTGAAACCAAGTAAGTTACCACTGACTGTAGATATTGAAAGGAACTGATGCAGCAGCAGAAGGAACTAAGAAATTGGTAGTAAAGTAAGTCAAAACCAGATCAAAAATATGACAAAACATTTTGGTATTGAGCTTGGCAACCAAAGGACAGGGATGTCCATCCATACAGATTATCTCCTTCCATAAGTCACCTGGGCATTACTGAAGAGACAGAGAGAGATTCTTCTGGACCTTACAGGACCCACTACCCAAAAAGACAAAACTTAGTCTTGTCATACTCACGTCCTCATCCTGGCTTGAATGGATTAGTTCCACAAGTCTCTGAATAATCTTTGCTTCATTAAGCCACTGGAGGGAAAGGAAGGGGAAAAGAAAATCCTTGTTTGATATCACAGAATTCAAAACAAGAGGATCTTCACAAAGCTTTGTGTAACACAGGCTTTTCAAGAAGGGAAAGCCCTTTCCTTCTATTTCATAATCAAAGCCACAGGCAATATACCGACCCCCCTAGGCACAGATAAAGATGCATTTTAATTTGCATCAGTATGTACACCCTGCCCACAGAACTAAAAACCTAAATACCTTTGGAAAACACGGGATAGATCAGTCACAAACACTATCTCATCTGAAGCAGCATCAGCATAATTATCAACATGTTTTCCTCCTACCATTTCCTCTTAGAGTCTTACCACTGTTTACACTAAATAATTTCTCAGACTTTGAGATGACATAGCAATGCTGCTGTTATACCTCATCTCCTTGCTCTATGCCAGCTCCAGACTACTTCCTTTTCCTAATGCAAGCTATCACTTTACCTCCCTTTCCTGACCGCACGCAAACCAAGTACGCCATCTGCAAATGATACCTTCCAGTTTCTCCCTTCCCAGCTTCATCTGCAAGCTCAACGTCTCATTTCCACCCATCCATTTTCACTCAAATTTCCATGGTCTTCATTCCAGGCAAACTGCTAGATGTCTAACATTAATCAAACTAATCAGTCAGATCAAACTAATGCATTCTCAGTTGCTTTTGAAATAACTGACCAAACATTAATTGAAAGGAAAAAGACTTTGGAGATTTCTGCAATGATATGATCTTCCATCATTCTTCAGATGAGTCATGGCGAAAATGAACAGTCCCCTGCCTTCCACTTCTTTATAAGAAGGCTCTATGCGTTATCTTCTCCCCTTGAACACTCATTTTTGTTACCTATTCACATGACTTCAACTATAATCATTACATTGACTCTTTACCAGCTTTGCTCTAATAACCTTCCTACAGATCTCGTCCTGTCCTCTACGATTCCACGTTGAGTATGATGTATGTCTGACTTGAAACAAAAATTCCAGATCACCATTTTTAGTGACTTTGCCCATGAATAACACTGCTGTTTTCCTACTAAGTCTGAAATGTCTGACTTTGTCTCCTTTCTGGTGTCCCTTATTATTGCAAAAATACTAATGTTGTCCAAAAATCTACCCAGCATACAGCTACAAAACCAAGTATGTCATTCAAGACCACGTTTTCAGATCTGGTTTCTGTGATTTCTTCTTCCCAACATCCAGTTTACCCCAAAGTTCAAAAAACTGGGTTCCTAAGACATTTTTCCTCACCGGTCTCTCTACCAACCCATCTCTTCAGATTCTTCCACTGGTTTCTAGTTTCTCAGCATCAAAATTAAACTCCTGAACCTTCTTCTCAAGACCATCACAGTAGAGTTGATCCCTGCTCTGGTTTAATACATCAGTCTTGCCATCTTCATTCCACTAACAAAGCAACCATTCCCTCTCTGTTCATTTAGTCTACAAGCGTATTTTCTCATCTCCCTGTGCTTGGATACGACTACTGAAATCCTTCTTTCAAATCCTAAGACTCAGTCTTCTGATGACAGCTCAGGTAGCTGTCAACTGGCAATTTACCAAAACAGCTTCATCAAGATTAATGAAATTCTCCTCATTGATACCTTCTAAAAAACAGTTGCTCAAATCTATCAGTTATGCCTACTGGCAGTCTCTGTAACAATAAAATTACCCACCTCTCCTCTCCCTTTCTCTGTGCTACGCTTGCACGTTTCATTTTGCACCATCAGTTACACGCCCCGTGTTTGCACAGCACCATGACTACGAGCCCACACTTTGGCTGCCATCTCTCGGTATCCCCACAGTATTAACACATTGCACAACTTCAACAAAAAAAACCTTGTATCAATTTTTACCTGCAAGTTTTCTTTCTTCAAATAATAAGCTCCATAGATATGGTACAGTGGGTATTTCAGCCTGTTTGTCGCTTCATGCAGAACCTACCTGCCAATCTGTGTCAGCAGAGGAATTTTTACCTATCGAAGTTCCATCTACCCTTACGACTTCCGCAGCCCAGAAGACGACTTATTAACACTCCTGCGTTAAATGTATTTTCTGTCCCTTGCAGAACACACCAAGTTAAATCCCAGCCCTCCACTGTAGTTTCAACTTTATTCTGTATCAACATCCTCCCGCAAGCCCCCCACCGGTTGAGCCTATGGGCCTTATTAATTAAAAATGGGAGTTGTTATACAGTAAACAAGAATAAAAAGGTTCTCTCTTTTTGCCTGGACTACCATAATAATGGGCTCTGGGGGGAGTTGGATGGCCACAGAGAGAAGTACTGAAGGGAGAGAAGCATGATCATTCATATGAACAAAGGACTACTGTTCCTGGGCACTGAGTGACACAGAAAATGAAATTCAAAAGAAAAAAAGAAACAACTGAAATAATTTGTTAAGATCAGAAGAACAATACCAAAATTTGGTGAATTAAGAAGCACCTAGTAAACCTGCAAGAAATTAATTCCTCTGTCTTGAGGCTGTTGTTGAAGAGATGGACTTTGACATTCACAAGAATAGGAATACTCTGTAATTGACTCCTCAAACGAAAGCTCTGACACTTGCAGGGCTTACAGACCTGGACTGAAGTACAACAGCGTTACCCTCACCGCCTCCCTTAAAGAGAGTCACACCTGAAACACAAACCCTTCTGACCACATGCAACTCAGCAGCGCGTTTACTCTCACTGATAATGACACACTTGTAAGGAATTCACGGACAGAAAACTTGCACATATGTGCAACTTGAATTATTCTACAGGAGAAGGAAGACTGCAAGACGCAGAGCCAGCAAGCAGGAGGCGGTTGATGTAGCAGTTGTTTGTTGTCTGCAAACAAACCAGACTCCTGTTTGCCGCCTCCTGATTAGGGAGCGCTGGGCTTGGGCCCAGCTGCTGCTGGGGAGCACCTGTATCACTGTGCTCAGGCACCATAGAACAAGTGGGACATGGCAAACTGGTTGTGCTGGTTTTGGCTGGGATAGAGTTAATTTTCTTCACAGTAGCTAGTATGGGGCTATGGTTCGGATTTGTGCTGGAAACACTGCTGATAACACAGGGATGGTTTAGTTACTGCTGAGCAGTGCTGACACAGGGTCAAGGCCTTGTCTGCTCCTCACCCCACCCCACCAGCCAGCAGGCTGGGGGGGCACAAGAAGTTGGGAGGGGACATGGCTGGGACAGCTGACCCCAACTGACCAAAGGGATATTCCACACCATATGGCGTCATGCTCAGCATATAAAGCTGGGGGAAGGAGGAGAAAGGGGGGAACGTTTGGAGTGATGGTGTTTGTCTTCCCAAGTCACTGTTAGGCGTGATGGAGCCCTGCTGTCCTGGAGATGGCTGAACACCTGCCTGCCCATGGGAAGCAGTGAATGAATTCCTTGTTTTGCTTTGCTTGCGTGTGCAGCGTTTGCTTTACCTATTAAACTGTCTTTATCTCAACCCACGAGTTTTCTCACTTTTACCCTTCCGATTCTCTTCCCCATCCCACCGGGGGGAGTGAGCGGCTGCGTGGGGCTTAGCTGACAGCTGGGGTTAAACCACAACACTGGTCCAGGCAAACTGGGCCTTGGCAGTTAATGAGGCAGTGGGCACTGAAGGGGATGTGGAGGTGCTGCTCGAGGCTGCATGGGACTGCAAGAACAATGCAACCTCAGTGGTGACATGCAAGAGGGCACTGTCCCCACCACCAGCTAGGTGGTGGAACATGAGAAAAGCTCTTTCATAGAATCATGGAACGGTTTGGGTTGGAAGGGACCTCTAAAGGTCATCTAGTCCAACCCCCCTGCCGTGGGCAGGGACATCTTCAACTACATCAGGTTGCTCAAAGCCCCGTCCAACCTGACCTGGAATGTTTCCAGGGATGGGGCATC